TTCGAATAATGTGAGAATATAATCAGGGTAGTTTTTCCATCCCTGATTGGAGGTGCGTTTTCTTTAAGACGTGACCATAAATGGATAAAATGCTAGTTTATAATATACAACATGGATCTGTAAAGAATTTCATTACAGAACATAAACTACTGTATCCTTTTCTGATTGGAGCTGTCCTTGGTCCTGATAGAAACAGAGTGAGTTTATGTAAAGGACATCACACTGACTTAAATTCACTGATTCATCGCAGAGAGTTAATCAAAGCTTTGACCAGTTGGCTCACTAGCAGTGGAGTGGACTCGCTTTGATAGCAGGTCTCTCTCTCCACAACATCAACAATGCAACTCTCTCTCTCTCTCTCTCTCTCTGAAAGCACGCAGCAGAGAGCGGGACCAGCGGTCCGTCTCAGTTTATCTCACGGACTGTGTCTGCAATGCGTTATCTCTCTACCCAAAGATTACACAGTTTTCCGAACGAATTCGTGACCGACTCGACGGAGCAACGCCGATCTTCCTCCGTAAGTCAGACCTTCAGCGGGCAAACTGCAGGAGTGAGGTTTTAATTCACAACTCTGGGCGCAATCTCTGCTCCGAGTGCAGGAAGAGCCAGACGGATCATAAACAGGTGCGTGTGATAAAGTCTCTCTCTCTCTATTTAAATTAATCAGCAGCTTTAATCTAAAATGGGCAACTATTTTTAATCCTTGATTCCAGTTACCTGCAATGATCTGTTTCATTTGAGTATTGAGTTGGAGTCTAATATTCCTACACAAGTCTATACACACAGTACTCCTTAGCTCACTATGTACCCATATCTTAGCTGTTTACTTCATTGTGACAACATGTTTGGTTTTAATAGGAGTAACAATGAAACTGTGCTTATAACCTTCATGGTCAGAGTTCAATCTTGGATAAGAAGAGACGTTTGAGGACGCTTAGTGTTGATTGTGGATGAAAGAGCTCCTTCATGTTTGATAAGTGAAGTGTGACTATTGTGCACTGACATGTTATGGAGCGATAATGCTAAAAGGAGTGTTTTTTCCATCCCTCTAAAGGAATTTAACCTGTGAAGTAATGACAGATTATAATAGTCATGTAGAAATGTGTGTATGTGTTTTTTACATTATATTTGTACAATAATCTTTTCTTTATTACTATTTCGGAAAGATATAACTGCATATTTGAAGAATTCCAGTGTCCACTTATTGTTTACTCACCTTTTTGTTTGTTTGTTTTTTAAAAATGTGACCTATAGTGAAGCAGATTTTGCACAAATATCTTGATTTCTATTTCTACTTAAAATAATGCTGATTGCAGGTGTACTGGTGGTCTCTGTGTTTTCAATCCTGACCGTGTAATTGCAGTGTTCCCGGTTTGTGTATTGATCCTTTAATATCTGTCAGCACGCTGCTGTCACTAAGTAATAAAATACGTGATTAAATGCTCTGGATGGTACTGGATAACAGTCTGACTTGTGATATATGAATATTGGCTGTTTCAGAGTAAATGAGGTGACCTTGTTGGGGGATGATTTAGATGATATGGAGGGTGTTTCTACTGATAAAATGTGATCTCTTAAAGAGCAGACACTGGCTTTTTTAGCAGCTTAAACTCTAGTTGCTCAAGGGGCAACAAAAATAAGTCTTTATGCTGATTAATGTGCTCGTAGAGGGAAAATATTCCTATTTATGCAAAACTGTTTCATAAATATGCTGTGAATTAGCTACTATTTAGCCCCCTTATCTGTCCTCTACTTGATCCTTCCCCCTTATCACCACCCGGAGATTATTCACATGGGGTTCCCAAATGGGATGTAAATCATCACCTTGTCTCTTCAGATGATGTCTCATTATGTTATCAGTCGGCCAGATCCCAGTGCTGGCTTGCACTGTTGGATTCATGGCCGTAAAATGTCAGAAGCTCATCTTGGATTTCAGATAAAGTGACCATTTGTATTCATAGTAGCAGACTGCGACACATTTAATGTACCTCTGCCTGGAGGCTCAAACAGGTTTTATTGAATCACACTTCATTTTCCTTTTTGTGGGAGGTTGGATAGTTAATTCTCATGACTGAATTAGTATTTTCTGTGATAATGAAACTTGGAGTCAAATGTAAAAAGAAAAAAAAATGCTACAATGTTTTTCCACTCTTTCTCTATTTTGATTTCTCTCTGAAAGTGTCAAGGGGCACGCAGCGACACACCTCAAGCACCATCACAGTTTCTGTAATGGAAACCTCTTTGTTGAAGTTTGTATTTACATAAATATGCAAAGATTTTAGAAGTTATGGTGGTGTTTTATGAATCTGAGCATTGCTCTGGAATGAATTGAGACTGGGAAAGCTGCCAGACTGATGAAATATAAACATTAACTCCATCATGAACCGCGTACTCTTTATTTAAGGAAGCTTGTTTCTGCCAATAAAATAACTCAAAATTTGAAGCTATGAGTCCCACAATACTGACTCTCTCAAACTTTCAGTTTACTTCTGAGTAATTTGAAATTTCCTGATATCTAACTCAACTTAACTCAACTCAACTCCATATTTTGTGATATTAGCCTGAAGTTTTTACTCATAAACAGCAAAAACAATAAACAAATACATAGATAAACAAATAATACAACCAGCACATCCTGAAGTGTGCAGTTACCTTAGCTTAGCACAAATATTGGCGGGGGGGGGGGAGATGAATAACTAGCTTGTTTCCATCCAGGTGTTAAACATATAGTAATCACAAAGCGCTGTTAAACAAAACAAGTAAAAACTAGGAATATGCACAATGAACAATGACAAGAATATTAAAACACAGCTGCTAGCAACACAAAACCATGTTAAAAACATGCTAAACTCAGACGGTAAAACAATAATACCAAAGGAAACTCAACAAAGCCACAAAGTTAGCTAAACATAGCTGGCATTGTAGACTGCGTCAAAGTCCTGATGTTACAGACTGAGAGACTGTGTCCTCCCCCAGTCTTCAGTCTTATACTAGCTTCAGCTAAATGCAGCTAGCTGCAAACAAGGCAGTGAGCGGCAGTCTGTTTATCAAGAAGTTGAGATAAATAGTCTGGAACAAGCTAATTTTCATAAACAGATACATGAATTACAAAATAGTGGAAGGCAGATTTTGTTGCTTGTAGCCAGTCACAGGAGCTGATTTCCCAGTTTCTTTATGCTAAGCTAATTAGGTTCATGCTAATAATAGTATTCTCAACCTTTAACCCTGTAAGAGTTTTTGAGACCTCTACATTATTAAAAAAACAAACAAACAAAAACAAAACCCACAAACAGAACCCTAAATAAATTGCACAATATATATATTTTAAGCAGTAGATTACAAAAGAAAAAAAATGCTAGTTAAAATATAACTCAAATTAAAACTCATATATGCAAATTAATAATTATAATTAATGACCACTTGTTTTTATTTGTCAGAAGGTTCAATAAATAGAATTTTCTGGAAATTATTTTGTGGTTCAGGCTTTTTAGGGTTTTTTTTTGTCATAATTGTGTAAATAACATTTTGAATTTTGTTAAAAATAAATAAAAATTCACATTTTATATGTCACAGGATTTTTTTTTTAACTTTTGTTTGGTCGTAGTTTTTAGAGGTTATAGTTAGTTTTTTTCTTAGTGTTTCTTTTCTTAATGTTTTTTTTATTTTTATTATTTTTATTTTAAGCATCTTTTTTGGTGGTTTCTGTTTCCAGCTTCTTTTAAAGTGCCACATCCATCTCCCTTTTTCTCCTCCAGCTTGCTGCTTGGATTATTCTGTATTTTACACCGGCTGCTGGAGCTCACCCTGCTGTGGCCATGAGTGCATGCAGCAGGAAGGCCTTGACTTTGCTGAGCAGTGTCTTTGCAATCAGTGGCCTGGGGCTGCTGGGAGTGGCAGTGAGCACCGACTACTGGCTCTACCTGGAGGAGGGAGTCATTATGCCTCTGAACCAGAGCACTGACATCAAGACCTCGTTGCACTCTGGCCTCTGGAGAGTCTGCTTTCTGGCTGGTTAGTGACTAGATTTTAAAAATTAAGGAAATATGTGGGTACGGCTATCTCTGTGCTCCTGGAATTTGTCAGTTAGTCATGGATGAATCAAAAGTGTAGAACAGATAACGCCACTGGATTTTACTCTCTCACATTCAAGATCTTCATCATCTCTACAGTAAAGGTGGCGACAGCAGCAAGCTGTCACAGTGATGTATCATCATGTAAACCACCAGCATTCATATTCACACACATTCACAATTACTTCATCACTGTGTGTGTGAGTGGAAAAGAGAGCTTGTGAGTAAGTGTCGAGTACAAGTAAAAGTGATAAAAAGAGCAATGAGGAGACAGAGGATGAGTCCTTGTGTCTGTGTGACGTTGTCCTGCACAACGTCATGACTGTGTAGCATTTTAGAGCATTATCAAGCTAAAAAAGGCCATTAGGGAATATCACTGCAGTGAAGTAGTGGATATGTTCTACTTATGCGTGACTATCAAGGTCAGAGCTGCAGTGTATTCTGCACTGTGATCAATTTTCATCAGGTTATGCTACTGTCGCTCCTCTTTGGGAATCAGAACATGCAAAAACTGACAATTTTGGACAAAGTCACTCCAATCTTGACGCTAGTGAAGGTTTGAATCTTGTTATCTTGTTACAGCTGTCACTGTAACAAGATAACAAGATAGCCATGTTGTTCAAAAACATCAGATAATCTTTTGTACCATCAGCTGTAGCTGTCCAACCTTCTCGTGTCCTCTTTTGGTCCCTCTCTATGTTAGTAACACTGCTTTTACTCTTCGTGACAGACATGTGAAATTATAGAACAGGGTTACATAATGTGTAAAAGTACCCTAACCTCTGCTGATGCAGTACCTACAGCACTCCAGGTCTCCTCTGGCATTAACATCAGCACAAAAGCTGTGCACCGGGAGCTTCACGGCATGGGTTTCCATGGCTGAGCAGCTTCTGTATTTGGGATGGCTCAGTACTTTTGTCCATATATTTTGTCTAGAATCATCTGGGTAGTTTGTGTATTCACAGCATTTTGTAAATGTCCGTATTACCCTATGTGAGTCCCAAGACTCCACAGTGAGAAGGTCTAAGTGAGTACAGGGGAAAATAAGTAGCACAATAAGACAAAACAACACATTCCCACATACAGACACTCAGTCATCACAGGAACGACTAGAGGAACTAGTTCCTGTCTCAAAACTACCTTTGGTTACAAAGGATAAGTGTCCCACGACCAAGCTATTATTTTAAAGCTTGTTTTCATTTAAATGGTCACATTCACATAAAGAAAGCATGCACAGAATCACCAAACAAATCTGCTCAAAAACAAACAAACAAACAAAAAATATTTCACAAGTTTGACAATTTTGCCCCAAAATATGTTTTAAATGGGTTTTTTCCCCTTATGAGGTAGACTTCTACTAGACAACATTATAAGTTCATTTACAGCTCATTTATGAAATTTCTGATCATCCAAGAGCAGCTGAGCAAATGTCATTCAGCAAAAAAAATGAGTAGATATCCCTGCCACCACATCTAAAACTGTTGTGAGCCTGTGTCAGTATGTGTCATATGATTGTCACTAAGTCAGTTATATGGGGCAGGAATTCTCCCACAGATTTCTATTTAGGACTCTTTGGCTGCCATGTGTCTCTCAAAATGCCTCTGCCCACATGCCGACCTCTTCTCTGGCTGTTTCAGCCTTTTGCTTCTGTTCTCACTGATTGTTAAACCTTCTTTAAGCTCCACTTTAATTCTAGTCATTTAAATAACTGACTTTTAATCCTCAAAGAGTTCTGCACATCTGTTTGTCCGATGTTTGCGAGGGTAAATTCGAATGAGTCTCACTCTCACTTCTGTCTCGTTCCTTTGCAGGTGACGAATCAGGTCGCTGCTTCACCATCGAGTACATCATGCCAATGAATGTCCAGCTGACGTCAGAGTCCACAGTGAACGTGCTCAGTAAGTACCAGCAGGACACACCGCCTCCAGCTGCAGCTTTAGGCAAAAAAGAAAAAGTAATCACAACTAGCACTTGTTCATATTAAAGGCTGGGGGCATTTTTCAGTCTGAGAACTTGTTTTCCAATAAGCTCGTGTTCAGAAGTCTGAATGCAGTGAGACCACATACGCCTGACTCATCTGAACCCTCGCGTCGCCGCCTGCTCCTCTCTGGAATACTTATTGCCTCTTCACAGACAGTCCTTCAGTAAAACTCAATGTCAAAACTTAACTGAAGGATAAATCACTCCATTTAGTCGATATAATGAGCTCCAGTGCAGCGCTCCATTTGGGGGAATTTTATTCTAGTTTTTTTATTTCAAGACTCATTGTTCTCCATCCTCTTTCTTCTGTGGTTCTCTAGTTTGAATGTAAAACTATTTTCTATCAAAGACCACAAATTAAAAAACTGCTGTATAATTAAAATAGATCAAAACAGGCCCTAATTTCCCTTTGTGATATTAAGCTAATCTAAATGTAATTTTTTCTAATTTCCACATGAAAAGACTTTTATTCTGCTTTTTTTCTTATTTATAAGTATTTAGTATTTTTTTCATATCTCAGCTTCTTTGGCTCGATCATTTGTTTAGTGTTTTTGTGGTTAAACAGCAGGTTCCTTCATCTGCTCTTTATCCTCCTCTTCAGAGATGATCCGTTCAGCCACTCCGTTCCCTCTGGTCAGCCTCTTCTTCATGTTCATCGGTTTTGTCCTCAACAACATCGGCCACGTCCGCCCTCACCGCACCATCCTGGCATTTGTCTCTGGAATCTTCTTTATCCTCTCAGGTAAGGCAACTCCTCCTTTCTCTGGATCATCTCCTGTCGTGTCTCCCTTTTACTCTTTTAACATCCAGTTTCTCCGTCTCTCAGGTCTGGCTTTGGTGGTGGGCCTGGTGCTGTACATTTCCAGTATAAATGATGAAATGCTGAACAGGACGAAGAGCAGTGAGGCCTATTTTTCCTATAAGTACGGCTGGTCCTTTGCCTTTGCTGCCCTCTCCTTCCTGCTCACTGAGGTGAGAAGCTGAACATAAAAAAAGAAATGACTTTTACTGCTGTTTGGCACGGCTGTGGATGCAGCATCCGTCAGTTCACACGCTAAAAAACATTCAAGAAGAAACATGTTTATATGTTCACATGAATAAATCTAGATAAAATAAAAACATTGAGCTCTCATTGCCACTGTGCACATGTTGGCATGTGTGGTAGTAACAGGAAGGTAAATAGGAAGGATTTTATTTTGAAATCTCCTCCTTAAAATGACTGTGCTCATAGTATTGAGTGTTTACTGCCCTCCAGGGTTCACATTGAGGAAATACAGGATTACCTCAGGTAAACAGTTATTATGATATTATTATTAACATGCATGAATACAGATGTTTACAGTATTCATATACTAGTTATTCTAATATACTACTGAATTGATAAAAAATTAAACTTTCAGTTATCCTGTATTCATTACTTATGTTTTTGTGTTTGCGTGTCATTCTGTCTGTAAACACAATGGCTCCAAAGTTTTAAATGAATTCATAGAGATGTAGATTGACTGATTTATTGGAATATGTTGTCAACATATAGAAAGTGCCATTTAAAGATTTAAAATATCACGTTACATTTGACCTCTGACCTCTCCTTCAATGTCAATCAATTGATCTGAAGGTCAAAGTAATGAAAATGCTTTATAGAGCTTATTGAGGAGACAACAGGTTTTCAGACTGATGACAACATGTTAGCATTTTTGAATACATGTTGTGTTATGTACATTACATTAATGTGTTACAAATGTTTAAATACGTTCAACAAGTCAACAATTTGAATACATGAACAATTTTATAATTGTTGGGTTTTTCATTTTTTGTGTTTGTATTAAAAAAGCACTACTCAAAATTGTGTCAAGTATATTAAAATAGGTTTCAGAAGGGAAAATAACAGCTTCTTAAACTATGTTTAAAAAGAACAAAGAAAACAAACTGAATATATACAAAATACAATGGCATTCCCTTCAAAGTAAAAGCTGCCCAGAGAGTGAGCTGCCTTGTTGGAGGTTTGGTTTCACTCTTGTTTTTGTTTGTTTAGTTTCTTTTTTGTGTTTATAGCTCATGAGCTCATCAGAGGTGAATCACAAATCATTAGAACATTTAATTTCCAGTTTGAGTGAATTTCTGTTCAAACAGTGTAAATATCATCTTATGAACAGCACCCTCAACAAGGTCACTGCTGAAAAGGCTGGCTGTTTGCCCAGCGCTGTATCGAAGCGTGGTAATGCAAAGTCAACTGATTCGACACAAAATTCAAGCTGTTTGAAGTCCACTGTGAACTTTCTGCAGTCGTAGATGATTTGGGGTGTCGTGTAATCTGCTGGGTCGTAGTCAATGCGGCCTTCTACCAGGAGGTTTTACCACGCTTCATGCTTCCATCTCCTGACAAGCTTTCAGGAGATGCCAATTTCCCTTTCCACCTGCTCACAGTGCCAAAACTACTACCAAATGATTTGCTGACCATATTATTACTGCGCTTGATTGGCCAGCCAGCTCACCTGACCTGAACCCCACAGAGCATCTTTCAAGAGGAAGATGAGAAATACCCGACCCCAAAATACAGACAAGCTGAGAGCTGCTATCAAAGAAACCTGGGCTCCAATAACACCTTAGCATAGCCACCAGACACCTCCACCTCCATGGCACGATGCACTGATGCAGTAATTCATGGTCCCAACCAAGTACTGAGTGTATAAATGGACATACTTCTCTCTGTCTTCTAATAATTTCAGATTGCTAATTACTGAATGTCTTAAGCTATAAGCCATAATGATCATATTGTTATTTATGAATAAACTGACTCTTCCTCACTGCAGAGCGCCGGCGTCATGTCAGTCTACCTGTTCATGAAGCGCTACGCAGCAGAGGAGCTCTACCAGCCCCGCCATCCCAGCTTCTACCGTCCTCGCCTCAGCAACTGCTCCGACCACTCTGGTCAGTTCCTCCACCCCGAGGCCTGGTCACGTGGACGGAGCCCCTCAGACATCTCGAGTGAAGCTTCCCTTCAGATGAGTACCAGCTACCCTGCTCTCCTCAAATGTCCTGACTATGATCAGGTGTCCTCTTCGCCCTGCTGAAGGGAGGTTAGTAACCTACCAGTTACTAAAGAGTCACCGAGGCATTGACGAAAGGCCAGAGTTTAAGATACAAGGTTGATATTTAACTGTGAGTTTGCACCATTACGACCGTGGTCAAGTGATTTGGAAACCAGTTATTTTCAGCAAGTTGTTGTTTGTTTTTACGTTTTTTTTTATCAGGTCAGAAAAGATTTTGGGGAGTTTGTTGTTGTAGCAGACACGACTGCAAAATCTGCAGATTTTAGAAGAAACAATACATGGTCATTGTGCCACTGCTTCTGCAAAGATCTCAAAAACATTTAAATATTTTTTTTATTTTCATGTTCAGAAGGTCAAGTATAGATTACTTTGAACTGTATTTTTACTGTACCTGTGCTTTTTACTTTCCAGTGCCTCACAGCTGTTTCTTTGCTTCCTTTTGTGATTTAAATGAGTGTGTCATGTTTTAGGACCTTCTATATGTGCTAGTATAGATCACATCAGTGCAACAACAATAATATCAGAAGGCACAATAATATCTGTGGTTGATGTTTCATTGGATGTGCAGTTTCAAAAGCACACATTTCGCTCAGAAGTTGCTCATGATCACAATCAGCAATACCTCTGCAATCAGAGCCAAACGTAAAAAAAGAATAGAATGTAAAATGTGTCCGGTCATTTGCAGTTTGTATTTCTACAGAGTTTCATTTACCTCACATTTGTGTTAAACTATGAGCATGTTATTGGTTACTGTTTGCTGCAAAAAACACTTGGCTGCCTTTATTTTCCCTTAAAACTGATCGAAAACAAGCCAGTAAAACTGCCTACCCAACTACTACACGTGAGGCTCCATCTCACAAAACCCTACAGACAAACGCTGTTGTGCAGTTGAAGGGCAGTTCATTCAGATGTGGTTCTAATTTTCAGTGATGTTGTCATTTGACACCTTCAAAGGCAGCAGGAAAACCGGATTGTCATCAAACTAAAGGCAACATATTCAAGACACTATGTTGAAATGCCTTTGACTCTTTATTTAGCCATACATTGACCCAGAATCTAACATGAAATCATAGATACTTGCTTTATATACACTGGTTTTTGTTTATATTTTTAGATATATATATATATAATATGTCCAGATTACATGAATTCATGATGTTGTTCCTGGTGGAGCTGCTAGAGATCTTTGTTAAAAGGGCGTTGCATCTGTAAAATAAATGTCTGCCATACAGTTTTCTTTTTCCTTTTTATTTTTTTTTTTTTAGCACTTTACATTTTACCCTGTGATTCCATATTTATCCACTGGGAGGCAGTGTTTGTCCTTTTCTTTCCTCAGCTCATTTTTTTTTTATCAGTGTGCAAATCTGCAAAAACAAAACCTGAAGTAACCTTTGTTATTTATGCACACTTCAAATCCGAAATACAAACACTGACTACCTAAGCTTACGCAGTGACTAACTGAGTCAGTCTTTGTCATTTACAGTACTGTGCAAAAGTCTCGAGCCATCCCTGAATTCTTTAAAAATAGCTTGCTCCTAATCTTCTGAACGTCTTTCAGCATTTTCTTTGGACGTCGGCTGCTTTTTCACTCATTGTCAGTTCATTTCTTGATCGTTTCCTGATGATTTAATTTTGTTAAGTCGCTTAACTCTGACCGATCAATCGTTCCAGCATAAAAAAGGCACCTAACTCAACGGATGACCTTGAGTTACACACTTTATCCATTTCTATAGTGAATGCAGTTATGCACCAACAAAGTGACTCCCAAAATGACTGTTAGCTGGAAACGGGGCATATTTCATTCTGAAAGGCATGTTCTATGAAATAGGAAATCAAAATTGGTCCCAGTGGATGGATGACTGTCAAGAAGCCATTCTTAAGGAAGGGAAACAGGGTTTTCTCCCTGAGGTACGAAATTAGAGTAACATTATTGAAGCAGTGTGGGATCATCGTGATGGAGGACAAAACAAGAACCATCCAACATCCAAAGAAGAGCTTTGAATGTCCTGCAAGAAGCCTGGAGAACTATTCCTGAAGACTACTTATAGAAATGACAAGAAAGTTTGCGTAACAGACTTCAGGCTGGTTGGAAAATAAAGGTCGTTGTACCAAGTATTAACTTCTAGGCTTGTTAGAATTGTACACAATCTGTCTTTGCCTTATAGACTGTATATACACGTGTGATGGTGCATCCTTCAATAAATCACTGCACCTATTTCACATTTTCCTCGCAAAATATAGAGAAATGAGGGGCAGCTCAAGCCTGCTGCACAGTACTGTAACTGTGATGCCTCGCTCTGCTTTTCTAATAAACTGTGTTAAACCAAGTGTGTCCATCATTATGCTACCTGCTCAAATACAAGTTATAGCCACAGTTTTCCAAACCTGTCTTATAGTACAAAAGCACAATAACAACAATATAGCATTAACTATTTTTGACTGTCCGATTACTTTTGAGACTGTGAAAATAGGGAACTGTAATTCCAGTTAATGCTCCACAAACACACAGTATTGCTTATGTGATTTAAGTATCACGGACATTTTCAGCATTAGCTCTCATTTCCATTAAGTCGTTTTTAGCATAATAACATTACGCTGCAATGAATGGAGTCACAAGCTGCACACTTTGTGTAGAATTTTTTTCCCCCCATGGATGATAATCAGCTGAGCACTGGGCCCATAATATTTTAATATACTATTTTAGTGACCTATTTATTAGGTACACAATCATTTATTAAGTATATACAGACTGCTTTTGAACTGGACTGTTTGTTTTGCACATTAACACAATTTGCACACACAATTTTACCTCCATAAAACATACCCGCATACAAAGTTGTCATTGTTACAGGCACTAGAAGTGCACAGGTGGGTCAAATTTGATTATGAAAGCTCCAAAATGCAGGAGTAAAAGCTATCGACTTAAATGATGAGATGTGCTGTTACATAAGGAGAGCTGTACAGGGCCATAGAAATACATCAACCCAGCAGCAGGACCAGCATCTGCTCTGCTAGAGTCCTATAAGTTGCATCTTTCTGACTAAACTATCAGAATCAGACTCCATGAGGGTGGCATGGGGGCCTGCTATACTTCAGTGGGACTTGTGCTCGCAGCTTGACAGGCGGCACACCAGAACAGACACATCTGCCACTGATGGTCCACTCGTTTCATAAATTCAGTGGCAAGAGTGTGCAGGCATTTCCTGGATAAAGGAGGTACTAATGCCTCAGGAACCTCTGGGATGATATGTATCCGGGTATCCAAGGCGACCAAATAGAGCTAAAGCTCATCAATGCTCTCATCCAGGACAGGACGTCCCTACAGGACAACATGTTCAAACTTTGTCTAATCCTACCAGTTGTGACAAGAACACTAGCAAAAAGCAAAATTGGAAAATAATCAGTCAGGAGGGACAAGAATAATGATCTGTGACCACCACCTGTGAAACCTTTCCCTAGAGCTGAACACATCTGTATCCCAGAAGTTTATCTGGCTTTGTCTTACCGTGCTGACTAAATATTCCCTTATTTTATTTATTTGTCTTATGAATCTACTAAAGCTGTTATTATTTAATAGGGATGTTTTCCTTAGGTTTATTATGTAATGAGCCACTTATATTCACATCATTGACATAAATGGTGTGTACAAAATAAGAGAAACCCAGTGAGCACTGTAATAATCATAAACACTGAATCTACTGCAAGAAAGCTGTCGTTTTATTTAAAGGTAAATGTACCTAAAAACGTAAATCTCTGCACACAATAAAGCATAAAAATTTATTTCAGTATCTGTTTTACCACAGAAAACACTGAAGCGTATGACTTTTCATTTTGGTTGATGATTTTTTTTCTTTGAGAGAACAGCAGAAAAATAGTAAAATTAAAGATTCAGGTTTTTGTGCATATTTCTCTGAACAGCCTGTAGAGGGTGTTATTGCTTCACTTATTGTGCACGTTAACACACAAATCCAATAGGTCATCCTTCACCTTTCCCTACTTCCTGTTAATTTACCACGTGTTCGCCAGGATGCAGGTATACATCACTGCTCCCCATCATGGAGGATGACCTCCGCATTCACAAAAACAAAAACAGCTCATCGTGCTCTAAGCAGCCTGAGTGCTTCATTAATAACAGCTCATTATTTATGCGAACAACTAGGTCAGGACCGGCATTAATAATGAACACACCACAAATCTGCTTTATGTATACTTTATGTAGATACACGTAATGTACAACGTGACCAATAGCTTTTACAGAGAATATAAAAGTTAATGTAACTATAAGCCCACACAGGGCAGTAGAAGATAATATCATGCCCTGACCACAAGGCTTTCACTGTATTTTACAATTATATAGAAAACTACTGGTGTTTTTGACATCATCAATTATATAATCACCATCACCGATATTACTTTAGTATAATCATCATCATATTCACCATAATCTTCATCATCATCATCATCATCATAAATACAACCACCTTTCTCACTCAGTCATGGCTTTTTAACGGCGTTGTCACAGTTATTTATCCAATATTCATCATCCCCATATATTTTATAATGATTATGTTTAAGGCTTTTGCAAAGAAGACCTCAAACTTCAGCTGATGCAAACTGCCAGTCGGCTCAAACATGGTTACACACAGAGTTTGTGCATACTACAACAAAGAGACCAGAAAGCTATACATTGTATATACAAACATAACTTAGGCATACACTGCTGAACATTTACAGGTAGTATTAAACCATTTCACAAATGAAAATAAATACAAAAATGATAGCTGGTTATTAGATATAGAAATGTTCAAAGAGAAGAAACACAAAGGCAAGCAAGGATCTTTAGGAGTACGAACCAAATGCAAACAGGATCACGACAACACACCGACCTTCACTCACATAGGCCATAGATAAGGGAAAGGAAAAAAAGAAGCTTAATTGGACTGGTACCTAACTGGGCTTCTGCACAGCCAAAAATAAAACCCACTCAGTAGATAGACTTTCTCAAATGAAAGCGCTCTGAAAGTTCTAATCCTTAAGATGTCAATGAAATGAGATCCCGGTTTGACAGCTGCCAACAAATGTTATCCTGCTACTGTTTCATGTTAAAAGCATTTAAAAAGAGGGCTTTTATTGTGAAGCAGTCATAGGTACATAATATATTTCTCACTAAGATTAAGGCTGATGGAAATGGGTTACCCCATATTACATATGTAAATTATTTAAATAGTATATTTGCTATTTTTAAAAAATAATTCGATTAAAGGTGAGGAAAGGTGTGAAAAAGTCTAGTTGTAATCAAAGTCAAAACACTGTAAACAGCAGACAGTGCTGTAGTTCAAACATTCACTTCTCGAGCTGAAGATGCTTGGGTCGATCTGCAGAGGAAGTGCAAACGTGTGGGAGCTACCTGCTCTGGCGACCCCTCGTAAGGGAGCAGATGTTCAAAATGTGTGACAGGATACCGTCAAACCAGAGGTGCTGAAATCTTAAGGATTGCAACTTTAAGTCCACAAAGAGAGTTGAATTTGAAGCTTTAGCAAAAGCGCCACTGCTACTCAACTAAAGTAAGAAAGGATGCACCTTACAAAATTCTCTGCTCCACACAGATAAATGAAATCAGTCCAGCT